AGCATGAAACATAATCTTCTGAAACACACTTACTGACATCGATACAGTACCATAACAATAAAATCATAAACAGAAGCTGAATTAAATTACATACCAACGATCTCTTGCGGCTCCATCTTGACTTCCTGCGGGACCATAGGCACTAGATCCTGAACTCTCTCCACCTCCAAAATAGGACAACGGGACTTGAAATGACCTGGCTGGTGACAATGAAAACATATCTGATCCTTCTTACAATCCCGATGTACATGCCCTCTTTCTCCACATTTGAAACACCTAAACTTGTGACAAGCAAACCCATGGGTTCCCCCACACTTGCCACACACCTCAAGATCTTCCTGACTTCCAACACCCAAGTCAGCCGAGTCGGACCTTCCACCTTCTTTTAATCGTCCTGATGTTGGCGTCCACTTCCTTTTCCCTAACTGTACATATAACCCAATCTCTTGCTCTCGAGTTACCCCGACTACCCCATCAACCGTCTGCACAGTCGCTGTCTGACCTTGAAACCTGGTGGTTACCCTGTCAGTAACACGCTCAATAATGTCGGGTAACTCCTCGCGTACAGCTCGCGAAACCTCCACAACGATCCAATCCTGCAGTGAACTCTTCTGAAAACAAGGTGCATAACCCACCTCCGATCCCTGACGACAAGAGCTAATAACCGGATCCTTCCTCCCGAGGGATCCCAAAGATCGATAAACATCGGGCCCCAGAGGAGCCTCTAACTTCCCCGCAGCAATCTCGGCCCGGAAGGCCTCGAGGCGGCTATCCAAAAGCTCCAAAATTCCCTCCTTGACTGTACCGAAGATCAAAGGAGTCTAATCCAGAATACTGCGCGTAATCTCAGTTGATACAAACTCTCTCATCGGCTCCTCGAGCTGACTGGCTCCTGAACCTGAGCCCGATCCTTCACCGGCGTCTGAACCGCCAACTGGTCTACTTTGTAGCGTCACCATGCTGCAGACATATCATAACAACCATCTGAATGCTCAATACTATCGAGGGATCTCACGCACTCACTACAAGTTCCCTGGTCTTATCTCAGCCCTTCTTGAATCGAGTACATATCCTCTGCTTTCAGTAGTATGGGCCCCTACTACCTTCCACATCTATCCGTACTTTCCTCAAGAGTTGCCTCGATTTCACCAAGTCCCTTTCACTGCTACTAACACTGCTCCCAGCACTACTCTCATCCTAGGCTTGCCCTAGGGTAACCTCCAACTCACTATCTGCCATCAGCTGCATAAGAAGTTCCTGTTATCTCCCCCTAACTAACTCACGAATACCATTACATATCACTCAGACTAGATAATTCTTCGAATGAGAGGTCCTACCCTACAACGGTTGGACTCAGACAAGAGCTGGGAAATAGGGCTAGACCTAACCTTCTGAAATTATTTAGTCCTTGCAATATGTAACTTAACATATTCGTTTACTAGTTAATCAGAGATAACTAGAACTCCTAATAGCACAAAGCATTCAGCATTCGGGCATTGGGAAAGCTAACCACATAATCCAATGAAGCTGTTCTATCCTCTAATCAGGAAGTTGTACTAGCATGCAACTCATACACATATAACAGGCACATAAGGCATCCTCCTAGATCCTTAGTCCTAAACTAGCATGCAGTTCTAATACACATATCATAACATAAACTTGTATGGGTAATTTGGGAGAACTTACTTGAGCTCGGCTGATTGCATGCACCACACCCTTTTTCTCTTTTTCAAAGTTCTTTTCTCTTTTCAAAATCCTTTTTCTTTTTCTCAAAGCTCTTTTATAAAAATGATTTTCCTTTGAAAACTTTCATACCAAGTCCTCGGTTTGAGTTCAGACACACCCGAGAGTGTATCTGAATCCCTCACACCAAGGCTTTAATACCAACTTGTAACATCCCAAAAATACGGTCCGAAAATTTCATTTTTAAATCATTAGTGAAAGCCATAATTATCCACCATTTCATTCATAAACAAAACTGTTATATCAAATCAGAGTAAAACATCAAAACATATTCTTTTATCAGAGTAAAACATCAAAACATATTCTTTTATCAGAGTAAAACATCCCAGGCTAAACAAACTATGGTGTGTGCCATGCAATCACCCCGAGCTCCTCCCTCCGCTACCGGAAGTACCTGAAACCAAAACTGAAAACTGTAAGCACGAAGCTTAGTGAGTTCCCCAATCTACCACATACCACATACATAACCACATACTGGGCCCCCGCCCGCTGCATCGGGACTTGCCCGGCATCGGACTAGCTCCGTCATCGGGCCCCACCCGGCATCAGGCCCCGCCTGGCATCGAGCCCGCTCGGTATACAGATCTGTTCTCTTAGGCGCCGCCTGTCTCTGGGCCCCGCCCGCTAAGCATATATGATATAACACAAATAAGCTAAACATACTCTACTATACTCCTCATCTAAGGCCTCGCCTATCTTGGGCCCCGTCCCTGTCCTGCTACTTATGAGTCATGGAACGCCGTCCACACTCCTGCTGATAGTGAGATGCGGGCCCTCGCCCACACTCACCTCCCTCCTAACTCGGGCCTCGCCCCTGCTCTGCTGCTAATGAGATACAGAACCCCGTCCGTACTCAGCTAATGATGAGATACGGAGCCTCGCCCGAACTCACCTTCCTACCAGACACATACAAGTATCACAAAGACAACAAGTATAACTACACATACACTACTGCCTCGGGTACCAGACTCAACTCACCTTCCTACCAGACTCAACTCACACCTTTTAACAGAAGGGTTTTGGGGCAAGAAACGGCCTGGCTCGCCGAGTCCCACAAGTGACTCGCCGAGTCCCTCTATGTCCAATTCTATTCAGACGATTTCAGTCAAGCACAAAGCATCCAGGACCCAGATCTAATCTTCTAGGGTCGGAATAACACGCAAGGCTACTGCCTTTACATCGATGCATGGCCCCTTTTTGCTCAAAAGGCCAAAACAACCTCTTAAACTTTGCATGGGGAGTTCTAATGGCATAAGGTTTCCACCTTTATGCCTTAACTACCCTAAACACTCTCAGATCTGAAAGGATCTTGCTTGGGGACGTCCAAATCCCACAAATAATCATTCTTGGACCAAAAACTTCATAAAAGGGACATAACTAGATCTAAGAAACCAAAAGCCAAGATAAAGACTTGATTACCAAGAATTGCAGCCAATGGAGTGTATCTTCTGGATCTACTTCCTCCTCCTTGAACCTTCAACTTCCTTCCTCTCCTTCTTCCTCTTTAAGAGCACACTAATCACACAAAGGTGGGTCAAACACTCACAAGATGCACTAGGGTTTCGTGGGTGAGGGTTTAGGGTCTAGTGGCTGAAGATGAGGCTGAGGGAATGAGAATATAATGCTTAAATAGGGCACCAAGTCCCGAAATTAGGGTTTCCCAACCCAGACCAGACTCGCCGAGTCGGCCACTTAATCCGTGACACGGAACTCGCTCCGACTCGTCGAGTTCTTCCTTGGACTCGACGAGTTGACTCATTGACTTAGGGGTTTTCCTTTCCTTTCTTGGCCTTCTGAATTTGGGGTGTTACAATAAGGGTGCGTTTAGTTATGGAAAATAAATCGTTTTCCAAAAACATTTTCTAAAAACATAAGAATTTTGGAAACATGTTTAATCCAATAATTTTTCTAAACTTCACAGAAAACGAAAATTTTTCGTTTTCTAAATTTTCAAATAACTTAATTTTTTTTTAGAAAACCGATAATTATTGTTTTTTATATTTTCTATTTCCATTTTTCTTAAAAATATACACACCTACTCTCACGTCATCCATCCCACCTTACCCCCACTCACCCACTCCCAAGCTCCAACACCCCGCCCCCACAAACACACACACACACACCGATCACGACCATAAGCACCACCGTTATCACAACTACCATCCTGCCACCATTGCTTTCGCTATCGCTACCGCCGCCACCACCACCACTTAACCCTTACCTTTTCACCACTATCATTACCATCATTGGGTCAACCCCCACCAATACCACCACCTACCATCGTCAACATACCAACATAAAGATTATAACCTAAAAGTTTTAGGTTATTATGAAAAAATAATACTAAACATATAATTACTTTATTTGTCTTGTAAATAAAACCAAAAGACAATAGTAAGATACCAAAGATTGAGTTTCTAATTCTACACATAATAAGGGATGTAATCTGTTTTGAAACCGGACCGAAACCCAAATAACCAAAGGTCGATTAAGGAGTGAATGAGGAACTGAGAACATGACTAGATACTATTAATTGGTTACAACCTGTCCATTTCTAGTAGTAAGTGTGTTATCAAATAAGATGTTTGTTACCGGAACCGAAATAGCTGAAAACCGAAAATGATGAATTGAAAGAACTAAAAACCAGATCAAATATCACTAATCGATTCCAATCGATTTTATTATTTAATCAATATAATTAGATAAAATTCAATTAGAAAATCGTGTGTGGCAACCTATTTTTGTTATTGAATAGAAAAAACAAAATAAAAACAAAAGTAATTAATTTGATGGAGCTTTTTCATTGACCGCATCATGAATATGATCCATGGACAATGAAGAAAGGACAAAATTACCCTATATACATCATCTTTTTAGTACATGTCAAACTCACATTCTTATTTCTTGGACTCATTAATGGCATTCGCATGTGGGTGTGACCAAGAATCGACGATTAGTTACCCACGATTCTGGTCCGATGCTTTCGCCGCCGTGATTTATTAACCAAGTTGAATCACAATTTGACGAAGAACCTGATCGTGACTCGGTGACTGTGTTCATTTCACTGCGTAGAAGATGAGCATTATGTGGTTGATAAAATGTCTCATTGATAAACAGCCAATTCTCTCCACAGACATTCGCACCCACACCACACATTCACACATACCATAATCCTAACTTTGATAAGACTCTTTTATCCCTACTCCATGCTCCTTTTAGCCTAATAATGATACCCATTATGGGTATTTCATTACATATGTCGATTGAATTTAATCCGCAACTCACATGTTACAGAATCTAAGCTTAATAGCATACACCACACTTTCATTTAAACCCTGTATATGACAAAGTAACATGTCCATGATTTTGCAAAGGTTGTTACTACAAATCTACAATGGTCGATGTTCATCAAGAGGGATTTGACATGCTTGCTACAAAAAAGGAGCTTAATTCTGATGCCATGAAGAGGATTAGCGATTGGTTTCTTTTCATTTCTCTTCATCTTGTTTCTTAATCTATATTGTTAGATATAACTCCATATTAATTTCTCTTCCAAAAATTTGCAGGATTTTCTCCCAAGAGATCCCAAGTGATGTCACAGTTTGTGTAAGAGGTGTTTCTTTTTCCATACACAAGGTACGCTTTCTCTATACTCTTGTTAGTTATAAGTTATAAGTTATAACTCATTTTTTGATAAAGATTTGAAACAACGATAAAAGTTAACGTTTTTCATACTGTGTGCAGTTTCCTTTAGTCTCAAAGTGTGGTTATATAAAGAAACTATTAGCAGACCCAAATCATTCCGATCTTTCTGTAGTGGAAATCCCTGATATCCCAGGAGGACCTGAAGGATTTGAACTTGCTGCAAAATTCTGTTATGAAACAAATATCGAGTTATCAAAAGACAACATTGCAATGGCAAGATGTGTTGCAGAATACCTAGAAATGACCGAAGAATATGCAATTGGCAACCTGGTATCAGTAACAGAATCCTATTTAAACGAATCAGGATTCAAAAACTTATCAGCTGCAGTTTCCATTTTGCAATCGTCAGCAGATTTCTTACCAATCTCTGAAAAAGTAAAACTGATTGATCGATGTATTGACACTATCGCGTTCATGGTGACTGAAGAAAGTCAAGTTTGTTTGTTTGGAAGTGCAGACAGCAGCAATGATTTGAATTCGAATTCTTTGTCATCTTCGTCTCATGCAAGATCTGTAGTTGATTGGTGGGCTGAAGATTTGATTGTTCTTAGAATCGATATCTTTGAAAGGGTTCTTCTTGCATTAGTTTCAAGAGGATTCAAACAATTTGCACTTGGTCCCGTTTTAATGCTTTATGCTCAAAAATGTCTTCGAGGTTTGGTAAGATCCCTAAATTACCCCCCTTTTCTTTTCGGATTTAACTTTTGTATTTATTAATCATGTAGTCAATTTTCTAATCTTTTACAAGAGGTAAAATTGTCATTATACAATCAATCAAACAGGAAATCTTTGGAAAATCCAAGAAAAAGCTGGAGCCAAACCAAGAACACGAGAAGAGGGTAATTTTGGAAACAATAGTCGGGCTCTTGCCAAGAGAAAAGAACGCAGTGTCAATAAGCTTTCTTTCAATGTTGCTTCGAGCTTCCAATTATTTAGACACAACAGTCTCATGCAAGCTCGATTTAGAGAAAAGAATGGGATTACAATTAGGGCATGCAGTTTTAGACGATATCTTGATTCCTTCCTTTTGCTTTGATGGTGACACGTTGTTTGATGTTGATACAGTTCAACAAATGATGATGATTTATATTGAAAACAATTTCACAGACACGTGTCCTATAGACCATGTTTCACCAACACAAACTGATAACGAAAATGTCGGGAAGATCATGGAGAGCTTTCTTGCAAAAATAGCTTCTGATCGAAACATGTTGGTTTCAAAATTTATAAACTTTGTTGAATGTATTCCACCTCAAGTAAAGGTTACAGAAGATGGAATGTATAGAGCCATTGATATCTACTTGAAGGTAACATTTTTAGTAAAAATACAAGAAAGTTAAAGGTCTGATTCACTGATTGTAATTAATATTTGTAAATATAATCTTTTCAGGCTCATCCAGCAATAAGTGACATGGATCGAAAGAAAGTTTGCAGTTTAATGGATTGTCAGAAGCTATCACGTGAAGCACGTGCTCATGCAGCTCAAAACGAGAGGCTTCCTGTTCAAACTGTGGTTCAAGTTCTTTACTACGAACAACAACGATTGCAAGAAACAACTACAGGTGGTAATGAATATGATCATAGCGCAACTAATAGCAAATCGTTTAATAGTACTACTCCTTCATCTCCAAGCTCAGTAGCATCAGTATCAGATGAAATTTCAAGCTTAAAAAAAGAAAATCAAGAACTTAAATTCGAGCTTCTGAAGATGAAAACAAGATTGAAGGAGATTGAGAGATCAGGTGGTAATAAACCAAGGGTGGTTAATAACAATACGAGTACAGCTGGTAGTGGTAAGCCACCATTGCCTAAAAAGTCGTTGATAAGTTCAGTGACGAAAAAGCTTGGGAAAATTACACCATTTTTACATGCGGATGGGTTTTTGCCTTCGAGTACACGTGGCAGGAATAAACCTGATAAAGATCGAAGGCATTCGGTATCTTGAAGTTTGGCAGTAGGATTGTTGGTTTCCGCTGCTTAAATTTTAATTGGTAAATACTTAATACTTAATGTCATGTTGTAAAACACATTTTTGCATGATATATTTGTTTATATATATGGGATTTGGACGATTGGTGTTGAAAGCTTTAATGTTATGTATATTATACGATATAGCCCTTTATGCTCAATTTAAATCATATATATATGGAAATTATAAGCTGATCTATATATATATATTCTTATATATTAACCCAAGAGAACATATAAAGCACATCTTTAGGGGATGAGAAAAAGAACCAAAGGAAACGAACCAGATCCAGAACCGAATAGGTTAATCGGTGCGGTTCTGGGTTCCTGGTTTTTCTGAAATTTGGTTTTTGGTTTTTTGGAGGTTGCCAGGTTGGAATCAGAATTTGAAAAACCACAGGATTAAACAAAAAGACATGACCTCGTTCTTTGTTGTCGACTTAGGCTGCACACACCCATGTTCGCAACTTGTTTCTTGTTTCCCAAGTTCACATTGTTTGATATTAAGATCACAAATGAACCAAAGATCAAGTTATTTTCAAGTTAGTTTTAGTTTTGCTGGAAATTTGGGTTCCCCCAATGAAGACTCTCAAGTAAGTTTTAAAGTTTTTTCATCAAGGTTTTTTTTTTTTTTTTTTTCAATATTGTTCAAGTATGTTTATGTCTAATGTCTATTCATTAATGGAATGTAGCGTAGCATTCAAGTTAAATTTGTTCTAGTTTTATGATGTGTAAATTGTGATCATTCATGGACCTTGGAGTGTCATGTTATTGATTGAAATCTTATTGTGTTTTAAGATGATGATGATGATGATGCATTTGTTGAAAACACACAAAAAGAAGACCATGTACAGCAAACACAACAACAAGCCAACAACAAAAAAAAAAAAAAAAAAAAAAAAAAAAAAGAGAGGCCGGATAGATGGAAATCCTTTGAGAAGGTTTTCATTAAAGACGATAGGGAAGTTGAATGGAAGTATGAAAAATGCAAGTTTTGTTCCAAGAATATTAAGATAGGGAAGTTGAATGGAAGTATGAAAAATGCAAGTTTTGTTCCAAGAATATTAAAAAAGCCGATATGTGGTTGAACGATACATCTAGTTTTAAAAACATAGTAATTGTGCAAACAAAATCAAGATAGTATGAAAAATTAAACTACTTTACTAATTAAGAAATAAGTTTATGGAGAGGGATGTGTTGTCTACTTGGAAACATGCATGATGAAAAATAAAATTATGAAGCCTTTAGTAAATTTGTTTTGTAGCCGATGATCCACCTTTTAATTTTGTTGAAAATGAATCATTTGTTGAATACGCTAATAAACTTAATGTGAAGGTTGTTTTGCCATTGCGACATAAGATTTCAAAAGATGTTGCAAATTATTATGTTGATGAAAAGGAATAAGTTGCTTAATTACTTAAGTAGTCCACTAAATAGGGTACATTTGATCATAGGCAATTGGACTAGCTTGTGTCAAATGGTGAACAATATGGTAGTCACCACACACTTCATTGATGGAAATTGACCTCACAAAAGGATCATTAACTTTATACCTATAGATACTCATAAGAGAGAGAACACTAGAAGTAAGATATTAGAGTGCATTCATCGTTGGGGAATCAAGAAAGTGATGACTATCACGATAGATAATACAACTTCTAATTACAAATCAATAGAAATTTAAACCTAAAAATTACTGGGGGCAAACACTTCCACATAAGGTGTATGACTCATATTCTCAACCTTATTGTGAAAGATGGGTTGAGTCATAACAAGAATCATGTACAATGTTTGTAAAATATGGTACAATATACTATATTATCCACATAAAAGATCACAAAGTTTAAAGAGTGCATGAAAGAACTTGGTGTGGAATCAAAGAAATGATTGTCCTACACAGTGGATCCTAGTCCGCATTTAGTACTAACGGACACATATTAGATCCTTAGCGAACAAACTTGTCCACGTAGATAGGAGAGGCTTTGGTTTGTTCCAAAGATTGGGTTAGAGAATAGAGAAAACCAATTGTGGACAATATTGAAGATATTTTAAAAGATGATGACGTAGCCATATGTAACAACTTCCACCTTATTTCTTACAAATCAATGATTACATACTAACCATCAACTTTGTTTTATTTCAGTTTATACTATAGCTTGAAGAGGAGATACACAATATAAATGGACAACAAAATGGGAAAAAAAAACTTACAGAGATTTTAGAGTTGATACTTGCTTTTGTATGTGTCAAATAGTTATTTTTTTGAAACTTCATTGTTAAAAAGTGTTGCTAATTAAAACTTTTAATGTGCTTACATTAGTACTTCTTATATGTTTTTTTTTGTAGTTCTTACTAAAGTGCTAAACTATTCCAAAACCATTAATATTAGTGGATTATAGACATGAGCAAAACCATTTGAAAACATTAATCTAAAATGTTAAACAAGTTCAAAACCATTCCAAACAACAAAACATTTGGATTGTAGACATGAATAAAAGCATTACAAAATATGAAGCTAAACCATTTCAAAACCACGCATACAACAACCTTACAAATATGTTTCATTTTTTCCTTCAAAAACCATTCTAAATAACAACTCAAGGCATTGTGAGAAAAATGGCAATGCACTTTCAAAACTGATTTAGTTTAGTTTTGGAATCGAAAACCCAATACCGAAACTGGAACCATGCCCTCTTATTTAGTGCGATTCTCGGTTCTCAATTTTCCCATTTTTTGGTTTTCGGTTCCACGTCAGTTCGGTCCGGTACCAGAAATGATCGCATCCCTGCACATCTTTGTTGTTAACATTAATGATCCACAAATTCAATGTTACTGGATAGGTTATCTATATATGTGTACAAAATTTGGCACCGAACGAAACACATACTCTTTTACAAAACATATGACACCGAACCATTTGTTAAAATATGATATTGTTTTACAACATTTAAAATATAATAATAATAACTTTAAAAAAAATATCTTATTTGATTAATATTTTTTAGTATTCATTACATATAAATTGGTTAATAAATATTGTTTTTATATTTATAAATATTTTATTTGAATAATTTTTTTTTCTTTATGGTATTTATTGCATATAAATTTTGTATAATGTTTTTTCGGTTATTATATATCATGAAATTTAACAAAGATCTTCTATAAGATTAAGAAAAATTGTCTTAGCTCAAGATCGGACCGAAACCGAAACTATTGATCCTTATATTTTTGGGATATGAACTATGAAATACAGAACCAAAGGCAGAACCGGTTGTTGGTATTCAATATATGATACTAGATATTTGGGCTCAGAACTATGTAAAATCCATTTTCAAATCCTAAAAGATCCATTATCAAAGTCAAAGCCCATAAATTTGACCTAGTAGCATCAAATCAAATCATTATTCTCATTCAAACCTTAGAGAAAACATTGAAATATATAAAAGACAAAATAGCAAGAATGGTCCTTATAGTTAGTTGAAAAATGTCACTTTGGTCCAAACAAATTTGGACTAGCACCAGAGGTCCAAAGTTTTCATTTTGTTGCGAATTTGGTCCAATTTACTTTAATTTTTTTTGTAATGATGATTTTACCCTTGCTTTTTTGCTTTTTCAGTTTTATTTATTTATCTAAATACTTTTATGATTAAAAGAAAAATAAAAAAGAAAATACCTCTCTCTCTCTCTCTCTCCTTGTCTGTCTGTCTCCATTAATATTGACATTGATGAAGAGGTTATGGGTTCCTGCTGTAAAAAATCGCAACCCCAAACACTCTCATCCCTATCTTTTGGGTTCTAAATTACAGGTGTGGTGCAAACTCGGATTCCGATATTCCCATATTAAGCTTACAAAATAAACACTTTCGATATCCCCACACTCCTGATCTTTTCAACATCAGAGACTTATGGATTCGAGTATCAAGCTACAAAGGTTTCAATCGGGATCATTGAGCTTGAAATCCAGATTCAAACAGTGATTCTAGAACTAGAAGCTGAAGATGATGAAGAACAATCAACATGATGAAGAAGAACCAACACAAATTAGTAAGCAAACAAAACAAATATTGGGAAGAAAAACATATAACAACATCATCTTTCCCGACCATTAGATTTCTCGTAGCATCAATTTCATACACTATCAAGCCGTAGATAAGTACCGATGACCACTGGAACATCACATTGTTTCCTTCCACCACCGCCATCGCCACAACCTTTCCCTTCCAACGCCATCATTGCCTTGTTGTTTTCGATGTGAACTCCGACGAACAAGCACCATTTCCTTCCATCGCCGCTGTCATCACATTCGTTTTCTTCCAAACCTACTTTCGCCTTATTCGGTCTGATGTGAAACCCGATTAACAAAGTTCCTTTAGATTCTCAGGTGGTACTCCTCTTTCAGACCCAACCACATATTCCAGATTTAGATCAAGATCTTCGGCGACCACTGAACCATAGTGCTTCTCACCGACGGATGGGAGGTGCAGTGGAAATAGTAAATTTGGGGGTGGGGTAAATTGGAGTTGGGGTTGTTTGTTGTGACGTACTCTACTGTAACGCCCATAGATATGGGCTAGTCAATTTAAGGACAATGAGCATCAAAAATGACTTTTTGATAGAAGATTATTTAGAATGAATAATCTTAACTAAATTGTAGTGGTCGTGACAAGGATTCCGAAAATATAAAGATTGCCGAAATCCGAGTTATAACGAAGAAGTTATGACCTGTCGAAGTTTCGCGACAGAACCGGCACGACACAACGCGACGTAAATAGTGAATTTACGATAAAGCGATATCTGGCCTTAGTGATCTAAACGAAAGTCATAGAGTACGTTAAACCAAGAGCGTGCATAAAAAGAACGGCTAAATCTGACTTCATATGAGGAAGTTATGATTTTTCGAAGTTTCGACTTAGCGGTATGCAGCCCAAAGTTTGAATATGAGATCGAGTGGTTTCTAGCCGAAATAATCTAAACAAGAATCAAAGATCTCGTCGATAGTAGTCCAACGGTAAAAAGACAGACGAAAACGGACGTCAAATGAAGGAGTTGTGAATTCCTAACAGAGTTTTCCTGTCCCGGCCTACTAAAAATAATATAATAAAAATTATGTCAAAATTAGCCGATGGAGTCTAAACGAGAGTTGTAGAGCA